TTTCATTACTATTTCTTAACACATTCATTCTCTTCCTCTACCTAGATTTTAACACGTCTCTCTCTCTCTGGTTACACACTCCACACATCAGCCAGTGTCCTTTTATGGGCATGCAAAGTTGTTCACTTCCTGCCAAACACTTCCTGCCACACACACACACTCTCTCTCTCTCTCTTCTCTCAGACTTCCTCTTTTTCCCGCACTCTGCTATGAACCTACGTAGTGTTATTATTACTTATTTATTATTTTGTACAAATCACACAGAATCACTCAAATCCAGTACTCACAACATTCACACACTTAGAATCACTCAAAATACGCTTTCCTAAGAGTATTTTCATCAAACATGCTGTTTAGAATCAGAAAGAGGAAGTAGACCTCACCCTGTCAACTGCGTATTTGGCCTCAAACTGAAAGGAAAAACAATTAAAACCTCTAAGAAATATAGAAAAATCAATCACACCAGCATTTATTACTCAAATTCTTGCCCAGTTAAACTTTCTATTTAAACAGAGATATTTGTCTTTGATGCCCCAGGCTTTGGGCCCGACACAATATCTTCAAAGAGAAATCAATTCATCAAATTTCACTGCAACAAGTCAACACTTTTTTTATTAGTTTGTAATATACATAAACCAGCATCTGAAAACTCACCAATTCAGCAATGTTCATCACAATATATTTATACAATCAGCAATCACTAAAAGCATTTCACAGCATGCATACTTTCATTTCAACACACACTCTCTCAGCATTCTTTCAGCCTTTAAATCACTGTTAAATTGCAAAGTTCTTTTAAATGCCAAAAATACTTATTTTATATTACAAAGACGTCTTCTAATTATAATATCCCGGATCCCTGACATACTCAACACAAAAGGCTAACCTGTTTTGACAAATTTAACAAGCGTACAACGCTAAGGTCCAACCTTTTTGTGATCAATTAACCAGTATCAGTTCCAAACTGTGCCTGGCCCAATTTCTAAACACCCTATTTTAATTTTAAAAGTGTCCAACGCCCGAGGTCCAACCTCTGCTGCCTAAAAAAGTGCATATACCATTCCAAACGGCAAAGTGATCCAGTCACTAGCTGTTTTACAGTTTTTCTCCATTGGTTTGGCTC